GAGGAGACGGTCCTGGCGCTTGCTGGACACTCTGGGACGTCCTGAAGACTTCTTCACTGCAGTCGAACCTCTCTACTTGAAGTTCTTGATGATCCGGTAAATGGTTCTTTCAGGTGCAATATTCTTTGTAGCAATTTCCTTACATGTGAGGCCACTTTGATTCAAAGTGATGATGGCTGCACGTGTTTGGTAACCATTGCTAACAAGAACACAATGATTGGAAGCGCTTCTTCCCTCCTTTTATAGCAATCAGTCTGCTCTTACAATCTAATTAGTATGATAGTGATTTTACCTGACTAGTAGGCCTACTCATTCACACTTTCACATGTGCTGCTGATATGATTAGTCAATTAATGTTAGCTGGTCATTTTGTGTCAGGATCAAAAAACAGTGAAATTAGTTTTTTTTTGTGAAAAGTTCATTTTTTGGCCAATGAAGCTTTTAGCAATTATTTAAAATGCATCTGATCACTCACAATAATCTAGAAACAATGTGAAAGAACACCACAACAGCTTAAGCAGCAAACTTTGCAAAACTCAAAATTTATGGCACTGCCAAAACTGTTGGCCATGATGACTGTACTCAAAACAGCATAGTGCACTGTTTATATCACATTTTGACGTTTGCATCAAATTAACATATTGGCCTACGGCTTTTCTGACGTTTACTCGGTAACTCACCTGGTACAGCGCTGCCCTTGCAATCTGGAGAAACATGAGTCACGAAAGCACTCAAAGCCTCTTAGATGGAAGGTAAAGCGGCAGTTGGTTAAATTTAGTGTACTCTCCATACACCTTCTCATACTTTGTACATTGTTTCAAACGCGATAGAGCATTAACCTTTTAGCGGCACTGGACATTTAAATCAACTGTAGTTTATTTTTGCAACTTTGGAGCCCGACTGGAATTCACTGTCGTAAATATTCCACTGTCGGAGAAAGTCTCTGCAGAACCAAAGGCGTTTACCCCAATTTCGGGGCGTTTTGAAACCGGTATAGGCGTTTTTAAACTTATTTACCTGATTTGCTAAAATTGAGTGGGCGATTCCCGGTGTTCCGGTGAATTCAGTTTCCCTGTTTCCCCCTCACAGCGCCTGCGCAACTTCGCAGTGTTGCCAAGTCCGCGGTTTTCCAGCGGTAGTTTGTAGTAGCAATTGGGCGTTTTTTTTTATTTTTATATCCTGGCAACCCTGAAACTTCAGTACTAAAATCATGACGTCATGATTTCGCCCCGGCTAAGCAAGTCAGCTTATGGTGGTTTTGCTGTCTTTCTGCAAGCAACGTTCATTTCACCATGTTAATTAGATCATTTGTAATTAAATACGTATTAATGTACGTGACGTCCTGTTCAATCGCAACATAGAGTCAGATTTCCCTGCTAATTCTAACTTTTGCCTGTTATGAAGTGTAACACCATTCATTACAATTAGACAGTTAAATTCCTTCGTCAGGGGCATTCTTTTGTTCAGACAACTACCCTGTACAACCTGTTTGCACGTTTTCTCTTGTACATTCCTGCTCATCTTAATATTTATTAAGTCTACAGTATACTGTCCTGCGCATTAAATAAAATAAAAAAAATCCATACCTATATTTATATATAATTTTCTTGTGTTTGTATTCTTTAATAATTGCACTGTCCATGGAGCGGACCTGACTTACATTTCACTGCTGGTCATATATTCTCTATATAACCATGTATGCGACAAATAAAAATCTTGAATCTATAAATCCTCAGAAGGTAATATACTGGGAGGGAACCACTTTTCTCAGGCCTCTGGAAAAATCTGTTCCCCCTGTGTTTTTAGTGTAAACTGTTCTGCAGATAAAAGTGGTTAGACGTAATTATGACATTTTAAAAACACATCAGGAGCATCACTCTGAGTTACCTAAAATAATAAAAGAGAGACTAGTCATTGTGCAATATAGTTTATTTGTTATTATTTCGACAAGGCTTAAGTTGTTTAACAGAAACACACACACACACACTAACAACAACAATAACAATAAAATGGAAATGGAAATGGGCGTCTGAACAAAAGAATGCCCCTGACGAAGGAATTTAACTGTCTAATTGTAATGAATGGTGTTACACTTCATAACAGGCAAAAGTTAGAATTAGCAGGGAAATCTGAGTCTGACTCTATGTTGCGATTGAACAGGACGTCACGTACATTAATACGTATTTAATTACAAATGATCTAATTAACATGGTGAAATGAACGTTGCTTGCAGAAAGACAGCAAAACCACCATAAGCTGACTTGCTTAGCCGGGGCGAAATCATGACGTCATGATTTTAGTACTGAAGTTTCAGGGTTGCCAGGATATTTAAAAAAAAAAACGCCCAATTGCTACTACAAACTACCGCTGGAAAACCGTGGACTTGGCAACACTGCGAAGTTGCGCAGGCGCTGTGAGGGGGAAACAGGGAAATTGAATTCACCGGAACACCGGAAAAACACTGACAGACCACATGAATATGAATGTAAGCGGATTGTGGTAAACTACAGTTAACGTTTTTGATTAATTTGTGTGAACTCGCTATTTAGCCAGTTATAAAATGATCCAAGCAATCTATAGCCTACTTTCACTCAGGGTGTGAGTCTAAACATAAAACATAGAAACGTCTCGTTGTAATGAAGCTTTACCTATAGTATAGTTTTTAATAAAAATTGTTGTAGGCTACTCCTGAAATGGGCCATACCAACATACGCTATAAAACCACGCTTATTCAGGATTTATTGCATGGGTGGAGAAAGAACATCATGTAAGTTTATGAAATGCGTTCGGTAAAATGATAAAATTTCCCTCTTTAATGCTGTTAGACTGAATGTACGAAGAAAAATATATGCTGAAATATTGACAATTTAACAACTGTCAGTCATTCATTAGTAAGTCCGGGCACATTTTCTTTCAGAATTGAAGATAGCATTTATTTACATGCAGAGTATTAAATGTTATCTGTAGCTACATTCGCTATTCTGTTTGATTACCAGTCACTTATTATTTTTTGTCATCATGTTGTGGCTACTGTGTCTATATAGTCAATAAAGTGATCCCAATATTGTTTAATGTTTTCTGAGTCCTCATTCCACACTAAGGGTGCTTTCACACTTGGTTCGATTGCTTGGTCCGAACCCGAGTTCGATTGCTCCCCCCTCCCCCTGCCCCCGCTGGACTGTGTTCACATTATATTATTTAGATCCGAACCGTGGTTCGTTTGCGTCATCAAGCCAGCAGCTGTTTACCCCGTTGCTTAGTAAAGATGGTGCAGGAGAAGACGGCAAAATGCGTAGCAAGGCTCTCTTCAATTTTATATTTATGTTTTTGAACCGTTGGTTTTGTTTCCAAAGCTTCAGTACATAACGGCACTTAAGTCTGCCTTACGAATGTACTGCAAATGCTCTAAAGTACTCTGAAGGTGAACAGAAATGAGATATACAGCTCTCTGCTTGCAGCGCGTCAGTCACGCTCGTCAAGAAAGTGAGTGAAACACACACAAACACACATTTTTATCAAATAATACGTCATTAATAGCGGTTCAGTGATTTGGTACGATTGTGTTCACATCAGCAGCGAACCGTACCGGAGTTCACTTGAACCGTACCCCAGACCACCCTTTTTAAGCGGACTCGGGTGCGCTGCGCGGGTGCGCACCCGAGTTCGGAAGACAGCGTTCACATCATCCAAACGTACCGAACTCTGACGTCAATCGAACCCGGGTGCGCACCAAAAGTGCTAGTGTGAAAGCACCGTTACTTATATCAGTAATATAGGCCTATATAAAGCTCATTCTGCAAAAATAATCAATAATCAAAATAATCCCCCCTCCCCCCACACCACACACAAACACATTTTTAATAAAAACGTAAATTTGTCCTCCCACAATTTTTTTGGGCAAGTATGTTCACAAAGCGAGGTTTTCAGGGGCCAGTGTGAATAAATCTAGATTTAAATTCAGAGAGAAAAGATTTTATTTGTATGCAAAATGAGGAGATGTGAACATTAAGGAGCGCTAAACATTCTCACGCAATGTACAGTATGTTTCTTTCATACTCTAGTCTAAGCCGAAGGGCGCTCTCACACAGAAAGTCCAAAACGGACTCATAGTAGTAATGACTTATGACGTGCCAGGATGACATAGGACGCAGGTGTAGCGTAAGCTCCGGTGAGAAGTGACAAACTGGAAAGTGGAGAGAGCAAAACAAAACACCGTCACGAATTAGAAGTACAAAACGAGGATTTGTAGAGAAAAATGTTAGAGGATTTCGATATAAAAGGAGACTGGTTTTCCTTTGCTGTAAACAAAACTGGGTTCTTGAGAGACTAGCATATTCTCACCGGAGCTTAGGATACGCCTACGTACTACGTCATCCACTGGAAGGAACGCCACTCTCTCGTGTGCGTTGGACAGTTAGGGAAAATTACGTTTATAAAGTTTTAAATAAGGATATTTTTCTTACGCAAACACAATGCGTTGCTTCAGAAGGCCTTTACACACATCCAGAGCAGTGTGCAGCCATTTTTGCTGTGGCACCCAGGGAGCAGTTGGGGGTTTGGTGCCTTGCTCAAGGGTCTCACCTCAGTCATGGTATTGAGGGTGGAAGAGAGTGCTGGTCATTTACTCCCCCACCTACAATCCCTGGCAGTACAGAGACTCAAACCCACCACCTTTGGGTTACAAGTCTGACTCTCTAACCATTAGGCTACGACTTTATTGGACTTCAAAATCTCAACACCCATTCATTGCCATTATAAAGCTTGGAAGAGCCAGGACATTTTTTTTATATATATAACTCCTATTGTATTCGTCTGAAAGAAGAAAGTCATATACACCTGACTTGAGGGTGAGTAAATCATGGGGTGATTTTCATTTTTGGGTGAACTATCTCTTTAAGCAACAACTCTGCATGTAACATTTCATAGATTGAACACAGTGAGGTATATGAAGCAATTTTAATTTATGCACATAAAACAAGCAAACAAAGTTTTACAAGTAGAAAAGAATTAGTAGAAATTGAAAAAGTGGATTCCCAAGCACCTCTCCATAATGGATGGATGGTTAAGTTTATAAGTAAATTCATTCAAATAAAGAAAATAAAAGCTGAAAAAGCAGTTTTTGTGATAAAAAGCAGTTTGTTTTTACAGATAATACTTGTTTTCTCATGAAATCTTGAACTACTAAACAACTAAACAAATAGAAACATGTCGATAATATTCAAATGATCAATGTTTTACATAAAAAAGTCCTGTAGCGTTTCACATTCTCTCTTTTTTGCAGAACTTACACCACATAAAGACGAATGTTAATATGACAAGTCTTGTTTTGGTGACTGAACAGGGTTACTTTGAAACAAACGAACACTTTTTTTTTCAGAATAGACTCATCTATAAAAGCTACACTGACATATGCGTCATGAAAAGTGTATTTTACAACAAAAACACAGAGATTCCCACCACTGCTAAGAGCTCGACTAACAAGTGCCCCATATTGAGAGACATTAACACGTTTTTCAGAGACTGTGGTATCTACATATGGATTCTGTATGTCTGTTGTGGCAAAACCCTGTGATAGGGCAGGCAGATGCACTGGAGACCACTGTAGGTCCTCAGTGAGGCACAGGGGCTTCTGATTGGGCACAGGAAACAAAGCAGTCCAAGAAGGCTCCACCCATTTAGGACACAGACCCCACCCACAAACACTGGAATGCGACCAACCATGCAAATAAATGAAGCAATGATAAAGGAAAACACATTAGATGAGAATCATGCAAAGCGTCCATGTGTCATCTCTATGGCGAGAGTTTATCGGCATCTCGGTTGAATCAAATCGCCTGCTTTATTTGTCCACCATAGTTCAATTTAATTTAATGATGTCCGCACAACTGGAGAGCATGATGTCCTTGTTAACTGTGAAAATGGTTCTGTACAGTTTTATTGGCATTTGCTAGTAAAACGGTCCCACGTAAAATGTCTTTTTATTTATCCGGGTAACCCATGGAGAAAAAGAGGCAAAAATTAAAATCACTAGGTGCTGAAGTTAATGTGATGAAGATTACTGGAATCACAGATCCATTTTTAAAAGTCGTCATAAGTGTTGACGTCAGTGAAGTATGCGTTGGTATATGTTTTTCCTGCTAGCTGAGGGTTGAAATACTTATTTCTTTCCTCCAGGATCAAGTTATTCTTATTGAAAGCCTGTGGATGAGAGAAAAATATGTTTTCAGTTAGAGATAAGAGAACAGAAATGGAAAATACTTGATTTTGTTTGCATGGATGAAAAGTCAGACTGTATTGGGGTTGTGGATCTAGGCAAAAAATGAAATCAAATCACAAATCACTTGAAAATCTGAACAAAAATCTTGCTTTGAGACTGAATGATGGCCAAACCATGAAGAGGGTTTAAAAAAAGACTGATTCACTTGGCTGACTATACATTACTAACTTAAAAAAAAAAAACAGCAAGAAAAGTTAGTATCATTCACAGAATAATAAAAGGAGCAGTCAAAACATCACAGCATTAAGACAGATGGAAATGGCTGAGTAAACAAAGCTTTTCATACAAACTCAGAAATGTATTTTTAGTTGTTTCTGCCACCCATATGCTCAACATGGTTTCACTGTACCTCTGTGTCAGCCATTTAAAGAAGCCAATTTACACAAAAAGTATAAAAATAATTTATTATAAAATGTTTATTAAAATAATAAAATAAAACAAATAAGATGTTTATGCAGTTCTTTTTTTTCTTTCTTGTTATTTTCTGTTTTGATTATTAAAACTATTGACAAGGCTCATAAATATAAAAAAAAACGTTTTTTTATTTTAATAATGTTATTATTTTAATAATCATTTAAAATAAACAACATATGTGTTTATTTTAACATGTTTATTAAAATAATGCTATGAAATAATAAATGTTTTTTTAAGACAAGGTTCATAAATATTAAAAAGTAAAAAAAAAAAAGAGTATTTATTCAGTCTCCTACATAATTAGAAAGAACAATTAAAAAGAAATGCAACAAAGCTGTAAGCCAATACCAAGCTCAGTGGGGTGGCAATAACAAGCAAGCAAAATAATAATTTAGAAAAAAAGATTAATCCGATTTAGAAGGTAGAGAATATGTGGGATGATGGGAAATGCTGGTGACATATGCAGACAGAACGAATGGGCGAGCACACCTGCCACGTACACGAGGGTCAGGGGAAGGAGAGGGGATTCGCGAGAGGTCTGAGAGTCAGAGGAGAGGAAGGTAATGCCGGTCAAGAGTTAGTAGAAAATCTCCAGGCCTCGCGCTACACCAGTGTTAGAAGACAAAGGCTGGCAAATGTGGTGCTCGTCCAAAGGCAAGAGAACGGAAACATCAGGCTGAAAAGAGGAATGAAGCACAATCATCCTCAGGGCAGCAGGAGACAGAAAGAAGGCCGACACTGTCATTTTTGGTCTGTTTGTGAAGCTATCATTAAAGTCAACATGAAACACCCTCGCAAACCATTTTACCTCCGTAATGAAAGACTTCACAAAGTAAACCAGAATAATTAAAAAGGAAAAAATGTCAGGCAGGAGTAAATTTCATCCATCAGGTTATTTCATACCAGAATGGAGTTTACAGTCAATTGTGGCACTCTATTTATCTCCTAAAACACCAAAACTCCCACTTTTAAGGAGGATTTTTGACCGGGGTGTTGAGGTTTAATGTCAAGTTCACGCTGAAAAGCATCATGATGCATCTCAATGGTAAATGTATAATAGCTATAACTGTAGTAACTTTTAATTACATAAAAGAGATCATTTACCCCAAAATGAAAAATTTGTTTAACTTATTCACCCTCATGTTGTTCCAAACCCAGAAAACTTTTATTTTCAGAGCACAAAGAAAAATATTTTCTATATTCTATTATCATTTTAAGCCATCCACTGAAAGTCCACACAACCAGAACTTTTTATGCATCAAAAAGTACAAAATTACATTATAAATGTAATCACATAATCCATTAGATCAGAAAACATGGACTAAACCACTTAATTTATATGGATTACTTTCTGGAAGACTTTTTGACGTATGAAAGTTTTGGCCGTGTGGACTTTCAATGGATAGACAAAAATGATGGGAGAATATTAAAAATATCTTACTTTGTGTTCTGGAGATGAACGGAAGTCTTATGCACTGAAAAAAAAATTGACTTTGAAACAATTTTCATTCAGAAATTGCTAGTAAATTTCACAAATATTTACAAAGAAACACATTGAATTACACATGACATTTTGTAGAATGTAGACAGACTGAAATAGTGTTTTCTTGTCAAACATACTCCAATCATTTTTATTTTAAAAAAATCATTTTTTTCAGTGTGGGTTTGGAATGACATGAAGCTCTTTGGCTATTAATTAACATTATTTTCCCTTTTAACATGGTCTAGGTGACATCAGCCATTTCAGAATTCTTTTCAAATCACTTTGATGAAATATTATGAAGACGTTTTTCTTTAGAATAACATGGACGAATCACAGGAATGCATATTAAGAAAGTAAATAGGATCTATTTGATGTCATGTTGACTTTAAGGATCCTGTATGGGAAAATATATTCCATACTTACAGTAACAAACTGACAGCATTCAGAAGAAGAGACAATACAACAATACGACAAGTAAGTTGTGCATGTCAATAGTATTATATAGCCTTGAATTTCATTCATTCCTGTCATCAGTAGAAAGCCTGGCGAGTGAACTTGTACAGTCTCAGGACAGTAAAACAAAGAGTAATTTGTTACATTACCCTTCAGCTGGGATATTGTGTAAGTGATGCTATTCTAGTGCAATACATCCAGCTGATGAAATATGCAACTTCACAAAAGTGTCTGAACAAGCAATAACTGAGGAGCACTTTCTGTAATTAGTCATGAGTCTTGTACATTCACGTCTAATGAAGCCTTAACTGTCCTTCTGACTAAATGTGAAAAATGATGGTGAGCTTTATTTTCGCTGTGCTTATGAAAAAATTATCCATGTGTCTAAATCTCAGCGTGTACTGCATAACTTTAAAGCATTATGTAATAAAAAAACTACTTTTAAGAGAAAGGTTCATTTTTCAGGGTTTAAGTAACCCACTAACAACAATAACATTCTCAGAAAACTACTGACATGAGCTGCATATTGGTTTCTGATTTCATTTGGGACAATCTCACACAAACACTGAGTATACAAACTGAATCAAAACTTCACTTATGAGAAAGCAGTGTATGAATGTATGAATTGATTTAGTCACAAGACACATCGCACATATTCACACACAGACCACATACTAAATCCATCATCTCATTTCCCATATTAATAACATTGCTGATAGTACGAGTGAATAACACCCACCTTAATGGCTTCAACTGAGTCGTACTTGTCCAGTTTGTTGATGTGGTTGGTGATGCTGGTGTTGAGCGGGGCGGCGGAGATGGGGTGGATGACCGTGGCATCATGGGACTGCTGCTGGTATCTCTGACAGTAAGTGTACACCAGTAGGGTCACCAGACAGCCGAGTATGGAGCTGCTCAGGCCCACGGCGATCATGTGGAACACATTGAAGTCTGGCAAGAGAGGCAAAACGGGTAATGGCTAAATGATCTGATGCAAGCATGATGGCTGGGGCACTGATCCTGAAGCCAGAGGATATCAATTATCCATTACCTGAGCCAATTAAACACTATAGTAAATTACAGTCAGCATTGCTGTTGCCCTGTGAGTGTGCATGAACAGTCAATAATTGCTATAAATGGAAGGACTTTACAGTGGAAATGCAAATGCATATTTGTTTAATGGTCCCAAAAAGCTTTGAGGCACATTGTCTTTGTAATCAGTGTATTGAACCTCAGTTTTGATTCACATTGGATAATTAGCAACTAGAATTATGTCGTTCTCTGGAATATTGGATTTTGTCAGTTGTGATATTAAGCAATCAAATATGCTTGCATAATAAACACTGAACTGTATATTTCACTGTTGTTCAAAGAAAAACATAATGCTGCTACTTTAATGTCTCTTGTATGACCTAGGGGAAGAAACATTTTAATATATTCTACATTTAAAAGTTTGGGTCTCCTAGAATCTAAAGAAGTCTCTTAAAGTCTGTTTCCACCACAGGAACTTTCCCCAGGAACTAGGGACTTTGGGGCGGTACTCGGTGTGTTTCCACCGCAGAAACCAGGATCTAAATAAAGTTCTGGCTAAAAATTTGCCCCTCAGAAAGTCCCTGCTCACGAGGTAGTACTTTTTTAAAGGTCTGGAACTTTCGGGGGTGGGACTTGGGTGCTGAACATGCTGATTGGTTGAGTTCACGCAGCATTTGGATTGGTTGACTCTACGCAGCATTGTATTTCAACCACCATTTTTAAAAGCCTGATGCGGTGCGTTGCTGGTGCAGTCCAGAGGATGAAATCCAGCGGGAACTGGAAACGGTGACAAAAAAAATTATGATTGCCCGTCGTTTTGTATGACATTATCATTGTTTGACATTAGCGCCCCCTCCTGGACTGGGAGGAGGAGTCGTGCGCAGTCCCATGTCACCAGACGATTTGCCTAATCTTCACGGTACTTTAGGCTGCGATGGAAAAGCAGACAGAAACAGGTCTGGGGGAAAAAAAGTTCTGGGGGAAATTGTTCCAGGCAATTTTGGTGGAAAAGCGGCTTTATTCTCACTAAGGCTGCATTTATTGGGTCAAAAATACATGAAAAACAGTAATATTGTGAAATATTATTACAATTTAAAATTGTAATTTTGTAACTTTTTTTTCTATTTTTACATATTTTATTCTTGTGGTGGCAAATAAATGATGCTGATTAAATATGACATTAGCGCCCCCTCCTGGACTGGGAGGAGGAGTCGTGCGCAGTCCCATGTCACCAGACGATTTGCCTAACTTTTTTTTCTATTTTTACATATTTTATTCTTGTGGTGGCAAATAAATGATGCTGATTAAATATGCTGATGCAAACATTGAAAACAGTTGTGCTGCTCAATATTTTTGTGGAAACGGTGATACTTTTTTTCCAGGATTCTTTGATGAATAGAAAGTGCAACCGAACAACATTTTTTCAAAACTGAAATACTTTGTAACATTATAATTTTCTATACTGTCACTTTTAACCAATCTATTACATTCTTGTGGAAAAACTTACTGATCCTAAACTTTTGAATGGTAGTGTATACATTTTAGCTAGCTAATCCACAGAAAAAAATTACTTTGGCTTTTTATTAGTGGAAGATTTCAGCTGATCTGCTAAGCTAAGATAGAATAATAGGATAATTTCAACTTAAATCAATGTCCATATACTTTTTTATTTGGCAAGTAGCCATGTAATAAATGGGATACAATAATATATACAATAATATGTTTAGTTAGCTGGTCAGCGATATAAGGCTGCTTGTACACTACTTACCTCCACACCATCTTTCCTCCTGACTTGAATGTGCAACAGACGTTTCTGAGGAAAAAAGAAAAAAATCAAGGGAAGAACAGGGAAATGAATCCGTCAGGCTGATAAATGAGATCTTTAGAAGTTTCAGAACATTACAGCAAGTGAATTTCAAACTCAACCTATTATCGTGAAATTCAAAGGCTGAATAAGGAAAGTGGCACCTGCGACGCATTTTTATGATCAGTAATGGAAGTAAATGAGGTATAAAACTTTTCTAACGAGCTGTAATGGAATGTTACTCTGTGAAAGACATGAGGGCTCTGCAGGCCAGACAATATTTACACAACATTTACAGAATGGTCTTAAAAATTCACTCCCTGCGCTACACTGTAAGCGAGGTAATAACTCCCCTGACGATCATACGTTTATAGCTATTTCCATCTCTATAAAGCGGCAGATCACATAATAACTCATCATTTTAAAGATGAGCACATTCAAAATTAGGTGACTGTGTTCATTGTAGCTCATCATCAGAGAAGGAAGTACTTTCTTACAATTAGCACCCTCATGTTTGAGTTTGTAAAACTTGTTGGATTTCTCTCTCACAGCGGAAGTATCTCAGGTATCGAGTGTATGAATGCAAATGCTACACAAAACATATCGGCGTAATGCATTTGTTCGATCATGCCACTTAGACAGGGCAGAGGATGAGAGGTTAATTATCCCTGCACTGCAGAAATCAATGGTTTGGTGTGTCTCGCATTACTTCTTGTCAATAAGGGAAGATCCCTGTTTGTCCAGGGGTCGATATGGCAAGTGTTTGAGTGTATATGTGTGTGTGTTTCTGTGCTCACCTGGGATGAAGTTGGAGATGGGCAGGCAGGCACGAGTTTCACTGCTGTTGCCTGAGCGCTGGTTGCCGGTGGGAAACAGGGCGTCACAATGCCGCAGGCGAACCTGAGACCCTGATGAGTCACAGGGGGACCATTCGGACCAATCAGACCAGCTCTCTGTACATGACAACAACAAGCCCAAATCAGATGCAAAGTGAACGTGAAGAGGCTTCTATCTATCTATCTATCTATCTATCTATAAGTATATTGGGTCCATTTTCATTTCATGGTGATTTTAATGGTGGCAATTTTGGTGACAACTCTGCTTAATAACTTTTTTTTTCTTACACCTACTGTATAGTACATCGATGACTCATCAGTGTCTCAATCATTCATGAGACTGCTTGTCCTTATCCTATTAGAAGACGCTTCTCTTAATTATTCACGACAGCATGTGTTGCCTTTTATGGCAGATGCTTCAATCACGTAGATGCTTTCATGGATCACAAGAGTTTCTGCATGGCATATGTTCTCATCCATATACCCTGAGTATCTGACACAAACGTAACTGGTCTTTAGAGCTTCTTGATATAATTGATCAATCTGCTTATATAAACATTACAAAATAAGTCTCAAAACTTATTAAAAATGCAACAGTGCATTCATTTTCACAGTGCAGAGTACAAATGCAAATGGTTGTGCCTTTATTTGAACATTAAAATCTAGCTATCACAGGATATGTGTATTTGTATAATGTACTGTGAGCTTACAAAACCATGTATAGCATATTTGTTCATTTTGATGTGTACAGTACAATGGTGAAGAGCAATGTGCATTTGTAGGAACCTTTGATGCTTTTAACTCAATGAGAGTGCAATAAAACTGATTGGATCTGAAGCCGCTGATGTGTTTTCCGTCTCCCCTCTTTCCCCTGTAGCTAATCATGCCCACTTTTGTAAAATTTTTCAAAACTGCTGTGAGACCTAATTGGTTCTGAAACAGGGGAATTCATGACCCTTTACACCAGCCCAGATGGTCTGCTGGTCTCTAGATGGTGTAAGATGATCTAGCTAGTTTCCCAGCCTGACAATTGCCCAAGATCCCTCTAAAGGCCCTGATATACTCAAAGCAAAGTTCTTTTTTGTTTTTTGTTTAATAGTGTTAAGAAGTGTAAAATGCAGTATTGGTATACTGTTAGTAAACAACCTGATGCCACTGGTGCTGCTTAGAGTGGCATTTAGATAAATATATAAATATGTACTGTGCACTTTTCTCTCAATAACAAAATAAACACAGCAAAATAACAAAGGTGAGAAAGCAGCAGTTCAGAAAGTATCTGAACAACTGACATCATCCATCACAACTGGCATATTTATATACAGAAACCAAAATGTGTACACTTGTAAACTGCACACTTTGTAAATAACATATCTGCACACTTATAACATATCTGTACATTTATCTAAACAATTACATTTTTTATCTATACGTCTATTTCTGTATATAGTACATTATTTAATTTCTGTTTTTTTTTCTTACATTAGTGTTATATTCCATCCCTACTGTGTTATTCCTATGTATGTCTGCACTATCATGTATGTCTGCACTATGTCTGTACTTTCTTCTACACTGGAAGCTCCTGTCGTCAAGTCAAATTCCTTGTGTGTGTAAACATACTTGGTAATAAAGCTCTTCTGATTCTGATTCTGAAGATAGTGATGTGAATATGTTTGCACCAGCTCTGCAATTTGGCAGTCATGCCACGTTTATTTATACAGCACAATAGCTTGCTTTAAATCAAGCTGCTTTACAGTATTACAGTCATGAAACCCCTTATTATAGCATTGGTGGTTCACACCTCAGATTTGAAAAAGAGAAGATGGCTGGGAGAAGATGGCAGGGAAGGGATTGGACTGAAAGAGATCATTCTCCTGATAAATGCGGAGAAACATTTAGAAACCGATGACATATACACATACTATTCAGCCAGTCACAACTCCGAATTGATGCATGTACCTCACATTTTGTGCCGTTGCATCAGCATTGCTTTTTAAACTGGAAGAATGAAATGTCTCTGAAAAACGAAAAACAACCACTTTCCCCTTAATAATAAACACAATGAGTGCTAATATTGTTTTCATTGATGTGCAACCCATACATATCTGTTAAGATCTAAAAAAATTTTAGGGTTTCATGACCTTTTAAGCATGAAAAAATGTGTCAGTGTCACTTTCAATTAGAATCACAACTTCAATTTCTACTATAAAGCAGATCTCCATTGTGTTCATGTTTTTCCTCGGGTCTGACCTCGACATACTTAACAGAAGAAAACAGAAGAAGTTTTCCATGTCAAAGAAGGCAGAGCCCCAGATTCACACCCACCTATTACATAATTGCCACAGACCAATGGTAGTTCAAAGGTGTTTACCACCTGGAGAAAACTTTTCCGGAAAGTTTACTTTGGCAAGCTGTTTTGAACTCCCAAAACAAACTCCAAACAAACTTAATTTTGGCTTGATTTTGTTCAAAATCATCATAGTTCATTTTTCGAATAGCCTGAAGTATACCGGGACTTTAAAACAAAGAAACTAAACCTTCTTGGCAGATTAGACTTTTATTTTCCAGCAAGAAAGGCTTGAAATTTTGGTTATCGTATGAGTGAATCTGTTTGGCCTCCAAGCTAATTTAAACTAGACTGTACAAGGGAACCTAAAAAGGTTGGAATCCAGTTTAGGGGAACTTCCACAAAGGGTCTTCTGATTAGCATTCCCCTCACTTATCCCATCCTCTGTCTCCCGGCTGCACTGTACAGCTACACACGCACTTGTGTGATGAATGGTGTGACAGATAGACCTGAACACAGCTAATAAAAGGTCACTCCGTAACCTCACTACAGTTCTGGCTAATGGATGGACTGACATTTGAATACAAGCTCTCTTCTCCCATTCACCTTTCCTTGGATCAATGTGCGAGGTTTGACTTGCCGTCATCAATCACCTTATCTTGCCCTCCTCTCTTGCACTCCCTGCTGTGGGCTTATGCATATTATCTTCATATCGCAAGCTCAGCTTTACCATTTGCTTTTCTATGAAGTGTGACATTTTGATTTCCTCTGCTTTCATTCCCCCACGGGCCGCTTTATACGCAAGACATGATGAAAGGAAAGCAGGTACAAGACAAAGACTTCCGATCCGAAAAAAGCCATGTAATTTCCTGCCGGATTCAAGGTGTGAGTGTGTTTGTGTGAGAGTTCACGTAGGCTGAGTTCATGCAAGTGATAAAGTGTGTGTGTGTACCAGGGCAGGGTTGGATGTTGCAGAGGGCTTCTTCAGTATGCAAACCCAGGCAGATGTCACCTCCGTAGGCAGGTGGAGGGTTGTTACAGGTGCGTGTGCGCATGTAGTGGCCTCCTCCGCATGTCACTGAGCATTTAGACCAAGGTGACCAGCACGACCAGCTCCCATCCACTGAAAGATAAGGAAAAGAGGACACTCAAATTACTGCTGCACTTGTGTCATGAATCATTTTGGGACTAGCATCTTACATTTCTTTCAGTAAATAGTGAAAACATTTTTCGGAATAATTTTTAGTGTGATTGCAACCCTAAGTGTGTAACAATAGTTAATATCGATAAAGGCAAATGTGTTTTGTCATTTTTTTTCTCTACACTTCTCACACTGTTGCTCAGCAAAGAGGAGTCATTCAGATAAACATGTTTAGTCATTAAATTTAAATGGGAAATATCATGGAAAACATGATTTAAAATAATACAAATAAAAGAGTTCATTTTAATATGAACACATACAGTAGCCTCATAACACAAATGATCTGCAAAAACAGGCCATTCAGAAGGCATCACATTTGTAATATCAGAACTATAATGATTTAGATATCAGAACCTATTCAATATTCAGCAGTCTGGTGGGGCTGTGACTCATTTCACATTTGAAGAGGCTAGCCAATCATAGCACAGCTAATTTACATTTAAAACTCTTAAAAGAACACTGGCCTGTTAAAAGGATGAGAGAGGGTAGAAAACAGTCACATAAACTAAATTGTCTATTGAAAAAAAAAAAAAAAAACAGTTAAAATTAGTCTTAGCTGGGTTTAGTTGATCTATTGGCTAGTTTTAGAGTTTTTTTTTTTCACTTTTCAGCTGACCAATCTGGGAGACCACATGAAATCAAGTCATCTTAGGCTGGTTTTCCAGCAGGGTTATGACTGTTGAAATACTGATTAGAAATGGACGTTGAGGGGGAAAAGTGAATATGCTCCATTTAATTTAAACAGATCCAAGAAATGTATTCATCTAGTACCACAATATGAATTAATGACACCACCCAAGTTACCTCTGATAAGATCATTACAATGAAATCATCTGGTGTCAAAACAAGCTAAATCCTACTGTGCTTGTGTCGTGAATGATTTTGGGAATAGCATCTGTCATTTCACAGTAAATAGAGAAAATAGAATAATAATATCGGAATAATTTTGAGTGTGATTGCAACTCTAAATGTGTAACAATAGTTTATATTGATAGAGACAAATGTGTTTTATGATATTTTTGCTCCACTGCTGCTCAGCAAAGAGGAATGATTCAGACTGAGCATTTTTAGTGTCATTAATATTAAATTGGACATATCATGGAAAACAGGATTTAAAATGAATAAAATATTACAAACAAAAGAGTTCAATTTAATATGTACATACTCCAATAACACAACCCTTTATTGAAAATGATCTGCATAAACAGGTAATTCAGAAGGCACCGCATTTGTAATATCAAAACTATTATGATTTAGATAACAGTACCTATTTAATATTCAGAAATTTTTTAAGAGGTTAGCCAACCATAGCACTAGTGTTGTTTTTGGCGGCCTGTTTTAATTAAAGGTTCGTTGACGACGATATTTAGTCATAATTTTCGTTGACGAAAGCAACACTACATAGCACAGCTCATTTACGTATAAAACTATGTTAACAGGGTGAGAAAAGGTAGAAAAGTGACAAAACTAAGAAACACAAACATAAAACTAAATAAATTCTCTGCTAAAAACGATGAGCATGAACGCAAGCGACTGAGCGGAGCACACACACGCATAGAGTGGGATAACACGCAGAGCGTCACACCACGTGAAAGTGAATCCTGAGCGGTGAACTCATTTTCGGCAGCCGGAATTTCAGTGCATCTCTAATTATTGGCGACATTAGAAATGGATATTATATAATAGCTGCTCTCGACAGGCGCGGCACCCCGGTTGGGAAACACTGTTCTAAATAATGCCGCGAGTGGGGCTTGAGGAAGTGACGTTGCCTGCGTCTGCGCAGTGCGACCTGATGCAGCCCCTGAAGTGAGACACGGGAAACAGAAATACTGCAAAATAATAATAATAACGCGACTAAACGAGACGAAATAACGTTATAACGTTATAACAGCTAGTTTTAGCTGGTCTGTTGATTAGTTTTAAAGAGGTTTTGGCCACTTTTCTGCTGGTTTTCAGCAGGGTTATTACTGTATTTGATCATGAAACATTGATTATAAGTAGACTTTGAGGGAAAAATGTAAATATGAATATCATTTGAATGAATGACATCACCCTAGTTACCTCTAATACGATCACTACAATGAAATCATCTGGTGTCAAAACCAGCTAAATCCAGATGCTAAAACTGCTGGGAATCTGGGGTGGATGAGGAGAGAGGCTGTTCACACAGTCTGCTCTGGAGCTCTGTTTCTCCCTCGCGCTCTCACTCTGACCCCTGCTCTAATTAATGAAGCTAAACGAACCATCAATTCACTCCCTCCCCTCTTCAGCGAGTGCCAAGTTCAGGGTCATCACCCGCGACAACTGGGGGAACAGAGAACAACTCACAAAACACTACGACTGTCTTGGCACTAATTAAAGGAAAACAACCATACCGAGTCTCATTTTACATTAGCATTAGCCGTCTGACAGGTTTGTGGAAGAGGGGTAAGAGCTTACATCACTGACATGAGTAGATTTTGGCTGTGTTTATTAGCATACTGATTACTGTATAGTGCACTATTGGCTTCTATAAAAAACTCTTTATGTTAAACGGTATACAGTATGTAACAAATATTTCAAAAATTCTATTACAAAATATTTAAAAACAGCATTATGGTAGTGTACATTTGTGCCATGACCTCACTGCACATTTAGTTAAAGGGGTCATATGATGCGATTTCATGTTTTCCTTTGGAAGTGTTTTTGGAGTGTTTAAAGCTGTTTGTGCATACAGAAGATCCGTAAAGTCGCAAAGATTAAAGTCTCAAACCCAAAGAGATATTCTTTATAAATGTGAACGCTCATCCACACCCTCCTAAAACGCCTCGTTCAAACACAGACTCAGGTAAACAATGAATTAATCTTTTCTGTTTCTTATTGTAGTTTTGTATTGTTTGTAGTGTGATCAACGTTTGCGTAAGTAGTAGACATATTAGGGAAGTAACACGTAACATTTTAATTATATTTTGTTAAAATGAACGAAATGACTCGAAAAAAGATTCGTTCATTTTGCTGAACGAGACTCAAAGGTCCAAGTTGGTAAAATGATCCGAACTTCCCATCACTACTGGCTGCAGACATGGGCTGCGTTCCAGTTCGTTTTTTTAATGCCCTTCACTCGATAACTTGCCTCCTTCTCGTTCACTTGGATGTACGTCATTGATTATGTTGCATGAGTGCCCATTAAAGGAAAACAACCATACCGAGTCTCATTTTACATTAGCATTAGCCGTCTGACAGGTTTGTGGAAGAGGGGTAAGAGCTTACATCACTGACATGAGTAGATTTTGGCTGTGTTTATTAGCATACTGATTACTGTATAGTGCACTATTGGCTTCTATAAAAAACTCTTTATGTTAAACGGTATACAGTATGTAACAAATATTTCAAAAATTCTATTACAAAATATTTAAAAACAGCATTATGGTAGTGTACATTTGTGCCATGACCTCACTGCACATTTAGTTAAAGGGGTCATATGATGCGATTTCATGTTTTCCTTTGGAAGTGTTTTTGGAGTGTTTAAAGCTGTTTGTGCATACAGAAGATCCGTAAAGTCGCAAAGATTAAAGTCTCAAACCCAAAGAGATATTCTTTATAAATGTGAACGCTCATCCACACCCTCCTAAAACGCCTCGTTCAAACACACCCCCACATATCTACTTCACTGTGTGGGAAGATTTGCATAACACCGCCCAAATATATACACAAAGAAAGAAGGCGTAACTTTTATTCTCGCTGTAGTATTGTTGCCGCTGCCGCCATGTCGTGGAGACGCTGTGTGTTTCGTTACGAAAGCCAAAATAATGTTCTTTTTAGCAACGTTATATTCATCACGTGACAGCCCCATAAGTTTAGCCTATGCAGTCTGAGCCGGAAAGAGAATTGATTAGTTCATCTCGAGTCTTCGGGTTTTTCGAGTAGATCGTTCATCACGTGACAGACCCATAAACCCAAACCCGAAGATTTGTCAGATAAGAGGTGGTGAGCTAATCATAGACTGAAGACCCAGGTAAACAATGAATTAATCTTTTCTGTTTCTTATAGCAGTTTTGTATTGTTTGTAGTGTGATCAACGTTTGCGTAAGTAGTAGACATATTAGGGAAGTAACACGTAACATTTTAATTATATTTTGTTAAAATGAACGAAATGACTCGAAAAAAGATTCGTTCATTTTGCTGAACGAGACTCAAAGGTCCAAGTTGGTAAAATGATCCGAACTTCCCATCACTACTGGCTGCAGACATGGGCTGCGTTCCAGTTCGTTTTTTTAATGCCCTTCACTCGATAACTTGCCTCCTTCTCGTTCACTTGGATGTACGTCATTGATTATGTTGCATGAGTGTCCACTACTGGCGGAACCCTTGGAATGGGCTGAACTGGAACGTCCTAAGCCCTTGATCACTTAGAATCTGCTATAGAGTTAGTTTATTGTTTACATTTTTCCCTTTACGAATTTGTTTGGTGCAGCATTCTATATGCATATAGGTATGTTTGGGCTGTTATAAATGTTTAAAAAAATCATTTATATATTATAGAGTTGTTTGGGGCAGGGATAAATTGAACGCGATCTGCGATGACGTCATAATCGTGTTGCATTGTGGTCTATAGAGTGGCCTGAATGGTGCATATGAAGCAGACTCGCTCCCTCGATCAAAATCAAGGGGTCGAGGGTATGTCCATATAAACTTCCCTCGTTCACTTCACGAAGTGGAACGCACTTCAAAATGGCAGGGAGGATTCCCCCGAGGGGAAGTGCTTAGGGAAGTTTGCGAGTGCGTGTCTAAAAGTGGAGTGGAACGCAGCCTAGGAGTCTTAGCTTAAAAGTGATTCAGGACCA